AATAAATATGTTTGGATTTTAATGAGAAATGTCAAGTGATATTTTAACCATCAAGATCCACACATGCACAGGACAAGATGCACGAATGTATTTCTGATTCATACACAGATATATGAATGCATGTGTGCACCCTGAGCATGTGTGGATCATGTGTTTGTATTTGTAAACATAGAGACTCCTTTATCGCAACTACTAAAGACATTTGATCTAAATTTTCATTAATTTCTGGAAAAACGTCACTTAATTTCTCTTTAACACCAACAGTAAACTTATTTCTCTCATTAAAGATCATTTATGAACAAAAGTCTGTAAAAACAATTTCCCCCCTAAAAACCACTGTTATCCCCTTTAGCTGAAAATCCTCAGTTAACATGAATATAGAAAGTTTCTCCCGCTCTTCACTTTCAGTGATGGGACATTTAAAAGCCGAAAAGCTGACTTAAAGTCACCTAATAGCATCCCTGTCAGATCAAGATCTGGGCTTTTTACGGTACTAGTGGCTTGTTTTTTTTTAATGGACAGTAGGCTGACAGGAAAGGGGTAATGAGAGAGAGACATGCAGGAAAGGATCACAGGTCAGATTCGAACCCAGGTCGCCCGCATCAAGGACTAAGGCCTCCATACATGGGTCGTGTGCGCCCTCCCCTGCGCCACCAAAGCACGCCCAATCCATAGAGCTTTCATTTTTATTTTTTGGTTCTTTGCAGGGTCCAGCTTTATTTTGGTTTTATGTATTTATTTATCTTTACAGATATTCACCTTACATACATGCTTGAAATCATCATGGGTTCTGTTATGCTGAACTGACCTGGTTTAGTTGCAGCAGAGATTCACCAAACCATGACTTTTCTTCTCACTAAATACAAAAACCATGATACTTTTTATTTTTATTTTTATTTTATAATACGATTTAAATTCTGTTTAATTCATAGGTCTGCCGGTTTATATTATGTCCATCTGATTCAGCAATTAACTTCTATATCAACTCACAAAAACGTTTTTAATTGTGTTGTGGCAATTTTATCTCTAGGCTCTTAAAGGCGAAAAGGCATTCAGGTCAACAACAGAATACTTTAATATAGACATTATATTAGATCATCTGTTCTCTGTAGTTTCTTGCCTTTTGAATTTTAAAATAAATGCCTATCTTTAAGATGACGTTGTGGACCAATGTTTTCATTTTTAAAATTATTAACATTGAATTTGACTGGAATATTTCTTGTTCTATCAAAGTGGATCAATGTATTTTTACACCCCCAGTTCATACCAGAGTTTTTCCAGAAATGGTTTATTTGGTTTATGTTAAACAGAAAAGTATTCTGTTCTGGTGTTTTAGAGGCTCTGTTTAAAGAATGCTATTCCAGAAGTCCTGGCCGTTGTCCATGTTAACTCTGGCAAACTCCAGTCTAGCCTTAATGTTTTTCTTCAAGATCAAATATTTCCTCCTTTGCTTTTGTTCTATCAAAGTTAAACCCTGGCATTCCTATTCAAATATGCACTTTTATGAAAGGTAGCAAAAACCTTATTGTTAACAGCTTTTAGTCCATAAAAAATGTCCTTAAACTGCATGTACTTCCTTGAACTTATTCAAAGTTTATAAAAATAAATAAAGGTTAACAACTTATGCTTTGATATTTTAATAGGAATATAAAAAAAAAAGGTTTTTTATTAAAATGCTGTTATAGAAAATTGCCTTTTCTTCTTAATTTAGGTTATATTCCTCAGGAAAAGTAAGATTCTGGATCCCAGAAAAAAATAAATGGGTATCAGCCAGGAAAAGCATCACTGATTCATCTCTAGTGATTCCAAAAATACAGCAACTTTGTGGATGAAAAGGTGTTCATTTCAAGTAATTAATAATGAAGATGAAATGTCTGAATTCAATGGGTATCTAGGAAGAATGTATTCTTCTGCTTTTTTGCAGTCAGCTCTAAAGTAGAGCCAATATCTTCAGAACTGTCATCATCTGAGCAAAAATTGGTTGAAAAGATGACATGATTTACGTCCAAACAAGGTCTACATTTGGTTGCAAAGTTGAAAAGTGAAAGGCTAAAAGTCGTTATTTTTAGATCGTTGATAAGTCTTCTTAATGTGTATTATTGACCTAAAATGGGAAAGATCAGAGCGACCAAACACAGCCCAATTTTTAACAATTATTTCTGGACTAAATCAAGCGTATGACAGTCTGACCAGATTTAGCCTAAAAAGCAACATCTAAATGGAATCTGCCGTTTGAGCAGCAATGACTTACTGGCTAAACCTATCATGACGAACTTACTGGATCTTGCAGAACTACTCCATTTTGTAGAACCTGACTGGATCGCTTTTTGTAATTGGTGTCGGAGCCACCGGGTGGGGGTTTGCAGCAGTTGTGCTTAGAGCCAGAGCTGCAACCCGGCTCAAACAGAGAGGCCTTTGTTAGTCGGGGACGCCAGAGTCCTTGTGACCAGACCCGCCACTCCCTTTTTGGAGAAAGGGCCAGGGGGCCCCCGGGGAGGCTGGAGGGGCAGAAGAGAGAGGGAGAAAAGGGGACACTGGTGGATATGGTGGACTCCCCGCCACCTCCTCCTCTACCTCTTTTCTTGCAAAGAGAGAAGTGCCACAGCAGAAGGCGTGGAAAGCGGCCTTTTCATTGATCTGCTCTCGCATCTTTCACTGCAGCACATTGACCGCTTGCAAAGGATGGACGGGTGTGTCCAGAGACAGGTTGATTGTTTTATAGTCCCCTCATTTTGTTGCTCAAGCAAAGCAGAGCTGGACGGCATCAAGAGGAAGATGCTCTCTAAGTCCTATTGGGATATTCAATACTTTTATGGCAATTTTAATCCATGGCTTTCTGATATTAGCTCTATAACTCTTAAAAATGCCAATACTTGCCGTCATTAGAGATGTTGTATGGTAGAATCATACTAAATATGTAACCAAAGGGTAAATATTTATACAGAATTTAAAAGTCTAGAGTTTACCGCCTGCAGATTACTTTTTTTTTTTTATATACACGCTCTGTGTTAATGTACCTTCAGAGCCTAAACTAACATGTCAATTTTAGAAAAGTGACCTGTAATTTTCCTGAACATCATCTGTATCCTCTAGAAAATAAACCTATAAATTTTGCAGAAAATATCCTAAAAATTCTGTAAAAGACGACAGTCTCATGAATGCCTGTTAGTTTCTAATAAGTAGCCTGCTAGTAAAAGGCAAAAAATTATGTAGGTGAGCCATACACCATAGATACTCTAACCTGTAAGTAGCTAGAACGTTTGCTGTGAGTTATAGAGAAGCAAACTGCAAGTTCTAAAATCTATTTCTGTCAGTTCCAGTAAACCTCTTTTTTCTGAATGTAAGCTGTAAATACCAGAAACATATTCTCTAAATTCCATAGAAGTTACCTGTAAATACTATGAAATGACTTCACTTTTTGGACCTCAGAATTACTAGTTTTAGGAACACAACATGCAAGTTTTGGAAAGTAACCAGCAAATGATGTGAAAGTATCCTCATGTTAACCCTTTAAAGCCCAATCCAAGAATAAAACAAAACAGAAGATTACTTTTTTAGGTTTGAAGTCCTTATTTGGCCTTTTAACAAAATATGTAAAAAGAAAAAAACAGAAATACATTTTTGATATTAATAATTTATTACTATGCCCTCTCTTATCAGGTATATCTGATTGTGTACAATAGGATTTTGAGCAATGTTTTTACCATTAAGTTATGCAAAAGGTGTCAGACGCAAAACATTTTAGAAACTGTATGTATCAAATATGATACATTTGGCATTACAGGGTTAAAGAAGGCTGATCTATATTTTGGGGGAAGTCACATGTAAGCTATGTTAGTTCATGAAAGTAACTGATTCATTCCTGAAAGCAAGCTTTACTGGGAAGTAACCAGAGATGGGAAGTAATGAAGTACAAATACTTCATTACTGTACTCAAGTAGATTTTTCTGATATTTTTACTTTACTTTACTACTTATTTTTATGGCGACTTTTTACTTCTACTCCTTACATTTTTACACAAATATCTGTACTTTCTACTCCTTACATTTTAAAAAATGGGCTCGTTACTTTAGTTTTGAATCATTTCAATGGAGTTACCGTTATTATTTTTCACGTCATCAATACCAAATTCAATCTAATTGGATGGGAATCTACGTTGCATTTGACGCACCACTACAAGATGAATCGACAGATTCGGCGGTATTCATTGGCGGCAAATCATTGCAGCTTGATGGCGGTGGCGTTAGCATAGTAGCATGGACGACGAGATGTTTGAAAATGAACACAACGGAGATCTAGTCCTATTGGCAGACATCCATTTAAAATGTAGGCAACGGCATGAAAAAAGTGGTTTCTACTTTTACTTTTATACTTTAAGTAAATTTACAAGCCTGTACTTTGTTACTTTTACTTGAGTAAAGAAGTTTAATCAGTACTTCCACTTTTACCAGAGTATTTTTTAACACAAGTATCTGTACTTTTACTCAAGTACGGAAAGTGAGTACTTTTGCCATCCCTGGAAGTAACCTGGATCTACCTACAGTTTAAAGAGAGTCATTTCTTTCCACTGTTGCCACATGCTTGCTAAGCACCAGGGACTTCTACAAAGTCAGAGATTTCAAGCAACAAGATTGGCCTTCATATATAGATTTACCATGTTGGTTTAATAAACTCAAATTGACTGCATCAAAATTGGTTTGATTTATATATTTCTAAATAAAGCCCTAAGAGAGATTTGTTATGAATTGGCACTATGTAAATTAAAACTAAAGTAAATTATTAGATCAGTATCCTGTAAATTACAGGAAAGTACTCTTTCATGTCTCAGGAGAGCATCCTGTAAGTCGGGGGAAATTACTGGTTGCATAATGAGTTTTCTTCCAGTTAAATGTATGTGTATCTATGGAAACACAAGCAGATTCCTGAAGCCTTGGCTTCTTTTCCAGATGAGATTACTGACTTGTCCTCTAGTATTTAATATTCTTTGTTTTCCTTTCCAGAGTGACCGTCTCTTGATTAAGGGAGGAAAGATTGTGAACGATGATCAGTCCTTCTGCGCTGACATCTACATGGAGGATGGGGTCATTAAGTAAGTTTACTTTTTTTTCAAGCCTTTGATAGTTTATTATCTTCCCTCTACCTTAACAGAGGTGCAAAATAAAAACAAAAAAAAACAAAAAACAAAATGGGGGCATTTATTATAAACTTTGAAGAGACTCACGGTTTGGCCAAATCTTTTTTTATAAAGCACTTATATTTATGTGTTAAAGGATATTTGATAATTGGTACTTTAATACTTTAATGTCGATGCTCCTCTCTGTCTCCAGGCAAATTGGAGAAAACCTCATCGTTCCCGGGGGGGTGAAAACCATCGATGCCCACGGCCGCATGCTGATGCCAGGTGGGATCGACGTGCACACGCGTTTCCAGATGCCTGACCGGGGCATGACATCAGCCGACGACTTCTACCAAGGCACCAAGGCGGCGCTGGCTGGCGGCACCACCATGATCAGTGAGTCGTTCACCCAACCATACATTCCTAATTTGATGAGAGGCTTTTAATCAGTGAGTTCTAAAAAGAGCATGGCTTGTTTGGGCGCTATACATTTATTTTCTCCATATCAATAATTCCTACGATAGAAAGAAATCTTTGGATGTATTGAAAATGCAAATGATGATGTCTTCACTCCAGCATCGATTATTGCCTTTTATAGCTTTATCCTTCTTTTTAATCAGCACGGAAATATACTGAAACATATACTAATACAAAACAGACGACTTAGAACAAAAAACCTTTTCCTTTCTTTGCAAACATTAACCCAAGATCCAATTTGTACTTTCCCTATAATCATGAAAATAAAATGTTTTAATAGGGAAAAAGCTGATAAATATACATGACCATAAATGCGTAATGCATCAAATGTGAGGCTAAATCATTCATTTGAAGAACTTTAATTTTCGGACTAATTTTCCTTGTTATTAAAGCTTTAAAAATGTTAAATATTTTTCAAGCCTGTTTGAATTAAAAGAAAAAACAGAGCGGCTAAATAAACTTGAGTTAAATGTCACACTGGGGCTCCCTGTGCTGAATCAGCAGCCCTCCCTGGCAGCCAAACAAACTCTCCCAGCATGCTCTTGTCACCTCAGGCGAAACGCTGACTGCTGCAGACCCAGGAATGGTCAGTGAGGTCTGGAACGTAACCGGCGCTGCTTGGAAGGCCACACAGAACCTCACAGTCAGAGCAAGTTGTTAGAATTAATGAGAAAATACCTCATGCTGCTGATGTTGGAGACTTAGTTAAACGCTAAGCCAAGTCCACTTTGGAATATCCTAGTTTACGTATATTCATAAAGACTATGAAAGCCTGTTAAACTAGCCTTTAAAAGCTGAACTTCTGCTTCTGAGATATTCAAAGTTTTTGTGCATCTATTCAGTTGATCATGTGGTCCCTGAACCTGGCGTCAGCCTCATGTCCGCCTTCGAGCAGTGGCGTGAATGGGCCGACAGCAAGTCCTGCTGCGACTACTCACTGCACGTCGATATCACCGAGTGGCACAAGGGAATCCAGGAGGAGATGGAAACGCTGGCGAAGGATCACGGTACGAGCTCCGAATATCTAATCTACCCGCTTATTATTGCAAAAATGTTCAGAAACCCAATGAAAGCAGCTTCCAATAAAACACTGTTATTCTGATCATTTATAATATTCTCATTCAGCCTATTGCATACAAAATGGGTCAATTTTTTTAAGGAACATTTTGTTTTCTTTCATGTGTTTTTGTAACCCTTTTCTACACATTTCTACTTGGTTTCAAAAACCAAGTATTTCTAATTTGACTTCTCACTTATTGAGGACTTTTATGAGAACCATGTAAAAAAATAAAAAAAATAAATAATCAGAACCTGCATCAGAACCCTTCTTCTATTTCCATCCACTCACCTGATAGTGGGTGTCAGGATAGGAAAGTTCTAACACCCTCTTACCCCTTATACATTTAAAAATTGTTTCATTATTTGTTAGATGGATTCAACAAAGTGTTGGAAACACATATTTTGATTTGCTGAAAGCGGTGGTTGGCTACAGTGAAGTTGTTAAAGGAGTATTGTACAAGTTTAAAGGTTAAATATGATTTTACCGGACTTGTGAAATGAGTTTTCCTCAGTTTACAGCAGTTGCCTCTATAGGCTTCATTAATCAGTTCATGAGAAATTTATTCAGGTTGTACTTTCTTGATGTATGTGAGGGTATGATGTGCCTACGCTCTCGTTCACCTTCCTACTTTCTTCATATTCTGCCACCATTAAGGCACAGTTTTTAAATATGACCACAAAACTACCTCAAAGCAGTCAGACTCAAAACAAGAGTAAGAAAATCTACATTTTGTCTGAATTTATTGGCTGAATAAGATGAGAGTAAATATTGGGGTAGCTTTCATCAAATAGACAGAGCTCTTTGGCCTTCTTTTGCTAAAAAGCTAAATTGTTAACCCACACTTTCCTACTTAAGAAGACATTAGGCCTCAACATAAAAGATCTGTGCAGTCTCAGTGGCAGATGTTTTCTCCCATGCTCATTTACAACACTGGTGGTTTTACATCTTTTCACCAGAGGGGGCGAGCTTCTGCTAAAACTCTGGATCTTTCACTATGCTCCTTTAACGAATGGGTGTGGTCAGAAACAATCTAAAGAAAGGCTGTGGTTTTTATCAGTTGGTCATAAGAAGCCTAAAGAAACTATAACCCAGACCATGAAATCACTAGCAGCTCTTGGCATGATGGATCAAGTCTATGTGAAAATCTGACCATATTATAAAATATTGGAATTTAATCAGACTGGTCTGAGTCGAGAAGACTTTTGCAATCAGTTAGTCTTTTATCCAATGAACCTTTATAAACTGAAGTTTTTAGTTCGCAGCTGACAGAAGTGCCATATTACTGCTTATGTAGCCCATCCATTGTTATTTAATGTACTGCTGCCTCTCCGTCATCCCAAACCAGTCTGATTATTTTTAACAAATGTGCATAAAATGCTGCCCCTCTGGAAAGAGGTTCCGCAGCATCCGCTGCAGATCCACCAGGTTGTGCAACAGCTTCTTCCCCACTGCCATCAGACTGTTGAACCTTTGATCCACAATCCGAACTCTGCACCTATTGCACATTATCGGGCATCAAATGCTGCTGAACTTTTAACTTTTAGCCCTTTAAATTGTTCATCTCATTGTATTTTTCAATAACGCATTTTTTGCACAAATGCCATTTTGCACTGAACCACTGCAACTTGCACACTGTCTCTTATCCTCTGCACTGTTCACACTTTGACCACTGCTGCACTTTTTGTATTTTTCTATAACTCGTGCCATTGTGAAATATCAATGCAACGTTCATAAGCTGTATGTAACGCAATTTCGTTCTGTATGCACCCTGTGCATACAAAATGACAAATAAAGAAGTCTAAGTCTAAGTCTAAAATCCCTAAAGATCAACAGGTTCTGAAAAATTCAGGCCAGCCTGTGGCAACTTCAAAAGTCAGTTTCTTATCTGTTCTGATGCTGAGTTTAAATGTCACCAATCCAGCTTTGTGACCCCAGCTTCATGAAAGAATTAACTTGCTGCCATGGGATTGGCTCATCGTGTTAGCTTTAAACTTTAATAAAGTGCCCAAGGATTGTTTCTTTCTTATTAGGACAAAATAATCAACGATAAATTAAAATCTGACAGAAAAAGTGAGAAATCGTATTTTTCATGTATTAAATAGACTTTTTGCTAATTTTGTAATTACAATAAACAGGAAAACATCTACTGATTGAGAAGTTGACACAAATCCTGTTCTTACTACTGAACATAAACATTTTCGTGCTTTCTTTTGAAATTTTATTTTTAAAATTGAAATCAATATAATTTGCAAGATTGATGCCTTGCTTGTTTTTTCCCCCCAATCAGTGAAATGTGAAACAACCCTTTTTATACATGATTAACAGATCACTTTCATCCACAAAAAATTGCAAACTTTGTTTCTTTAAATTGATGCTTAGTATTTTATTAAAGAGTCAAAAAAATCATAGTATATTTTTGTTTATTTATTTATATAATTATACCTTTTGCTACGAGTAATAATGTTTTGTTGATTTTGGCCTACTTATCACTAAGGTTTAATATCCCACCTCTACAACTACCCTTGAAATTCCTGAAAATTCCCAAAGAGAGATGTCCGGGCTCAAATCAGCCCAGCTGACTTCCTCTGATGCGTATCAGCAGCTTTTCCTCTGCTGTATTATTGAGACTTAAGCCCTTCAAGTCAGTGGAGCAGTGTCACTCCAGAGACTTGGATTTGCTCATAGAAACCTCTGCCTGCAGAGTCGATTACATGTTTTAGGAGTTTTTCTGACATTTGTCAACTCTAAGTCTCTAAATCCATATACATATATTTGACCCAGATAGCTTATCTAAGGGGGTATAATGCAAAATATATGATCTGACATATATTGAGTTGAGAAATCAGATTTTGTTTAAGTCCCAAAACTTGTAAAAGAGCAAGAAAAAAGGGGTTAAATGTGCACAATCATTGTAATCAAACAACCACCTAATTCGAATTGATTTGCTAGTTGCTTTCATTGGCACAAACAAAGCCTGTTACTAATGTTAAAGAATGTGAGTCTGAGATCTTAATTTTGTTTCCTGCTTTAACGTTCGCTTCTGCTCACTTTCTTTAATGTCCTCAGGTGTCAACTCTTTCCTTGTCTACCTGGCATACAAAGATATTTTCCAGCTTACCGATGCTCAGGTACACTTCCTTTATTTCTCCAAATGATATTTACGTCATCGCTGATTTTTTTTTCTTTTTAAGCTATATTACGACACATCTAATGTTTGTGTATGATACAGTTATGTTGTGACAGTTCAGCTTGTTTCGTAGACCAGATTTAAACAGAAATTTCTCCTTGAATTAAGTTTAACCTTTGCAGCAACATCAGCGTTTCTTTTGCTAGTAAATTTGTTGCCAACATTCTCAGAATGAATAAGGAAAATGAAACGCTATGATGATGTTTTATAAAAACAATCATGCCTCGACCTGCATATCTGACTAAAGTGCGTGTCGGTTTGTCTCAAACCTAGAGTCTGCTTCTCTTGGAAGAGGTTACTAAAGGCTATATCTTGTTGCACATCTCATTCTGAGTCATGGTTGAAATGAATTAATCCTGTTTGAAAGCAGCTTTGAAGCAGATCCATGTTGGTCTTTGCACCTGTGGGAGGAATGCTGGCTACCCATTTTTTTGTTTCTATTAAATTCTGATGAAGATGAATTGTTGCATGTTTGGCAGCAGAAAGGTGATAATTCCTTCAGTGAACCCATTATATTGCATTAGCAGGAAGATTGTGGAAGACTTGCATAAAGTTTGGGAAAAACATTTCAGTCTGTTGTAGTTTTCAGCTCAAATGTAGCCGCTTGTTTTCTGTTTAAGTTGAATGAAGGTTCAGGGACACGTTTCAGTGATAAGATTGGGCTGTGTCACACTGGAACTCACTAACCTGCTGCAAACAAAGACATTTCACCGTTTAAAACCTTGATTTTCAAGGAGAATGGTTTTGTTTTATTCCACTAACTGCTAAAGCTAGCTGATATGCAGAGATGGGAAGTAACGAAGTACAAATACTTCGTTACTGTACTCAAGTAGATTTTTCTGATATTTTTACTTTACTTTACTACTTATTTTTATGGCGACTTTTTACTTCTACTCCTTACATTTTTACACAAATATCTGTACTTTCTACTCCTTACATTTTAAAAAATTGGCTCGTTACTTTAGTTTTGAATCATTTCAATGGAGTTACCATTATTATTTTTTCACGTCATCAATACCAAATTCAATCTAATTGGATGGGAATCTACGTTGCATTTGACGCACCACTACAAGATGAATCGATAGATTCGGCGGTATTCATTCGCGGCAAATCATTGCAGCTTGGTGGCGTTGGCGTTAGCATAGTAGTATGGACGCATGATTATTGAAAATGAACACAACGGAGATCTAGTCCTATTGGCAGATATCCATTTAAAATGTAGGCAACGGCATAAAAAAAGTGGTTTCTACTTTTACTTTTATACTTTAAGTAAATTTACAAGCCTGTACTTTGTTACTTTTACTTGAGTAAAGAAGTTTAATCGGTACTTCCACTTTTACCAGAGTATTTTTTAACACAAGTATCTGTGCTTTTACTCAAGTACAGAAAATGAGTACTTTTGCCATCTCTGCTGATATGGAAGTCATTTCTGCAGCTTGAGCTGCAAACATGCACGCGCCGTCCTCCATCTTCAAAATGTAATGCCAATACGTTTTGTTAAAAACACATATAAGTTATCAATATTTGTGGATGTACAAAGATTTAATTCTGAGACCTTTTGCTCGACAAGGTGGAGAAGTGTATTCACAACTGGAATATGTGCCCATATCATTTTCTTTGATCCAGGTGTACGAGGTGTTTAGCGTGATCCGAGATCTGGGAGCCATCGCTCAGGTTCACGCCGAGAACGGGGACATCGTTGCTGAGGTACAACAATGGACTTTTACGTTAATATTAAGCGGAATAAACTGCCTGTCTAAGGTTTGTGCTTGTTGGTCACTCATGGAGAACGGAGGCTGTAATGTACCCCCCCCACCCCATGCATGGGATGCTCATAATTAAAAACAGATGAGGACAAGCGGTTATAGGGGTCAAACCAGTGACTGTTTTTTATTGCCAAAGTTGTTGATCAGGAACACCTGTACATGACTCAACAATTCACATTTCCAGTGTTTGTTTGTGCTCATGTGTTTTCAGGAGCAGAGGCGGATTTTGGAGCAGGGGATCACTGGGCCTGAAGGACATGTGTTGAGCCATCCAGAGGAGGTGGGTCCAGTTCTATATAGCAGTTGGAGGAAAGCCTCCAGCGCTTAAGCCTCTTGCTCTGTTACATGACTGTTTGACCCCCTCCAGTTTTTCACAGCTTGGTAGAAAGTGTTTGACAGTTTTACAGTCGTTGGATTCCTCTCTCTGCATGTGAAAACAAGATGCCAAAACAAAGGATGGGATTTTTCATCAGGACATCTGTTATAAAGATAACACACTGTGTTGTTGCTAAAACATTTAGTTTCTTCTTCTTTCAGATTTTCCCTTTTCTTTCTTAATAACTCCACTCTGCCTGGGGAAAAAAGTAGAATGTTAATGTTCTGGCTGTGTTATTCTTGATTATTAAATGTGGTATTGTGATCAAACCAGAAATCGGACTAGAAATGTTTTATTTTATTTCATTTGTATTCATCTGTACTAAGTCTGATACACCTAAATAAAGTCAGGGATAATCAGTTGCCTTAAAAAATATATCTTTCCCCAAAGATATGCAAGATTTGGGGAAAAAAACAAAACATACATGTCCCTATCATTACAGTCAACAACAGAGACGTACTTGATGGTGGTCCGTCACATTAAATCCCCTCCAAAATGATGATATATGTGGTTTTGAAACACTAGATGTTAGGTCTACACTGAGCTGTGGGGTCTATATTGTTTATCATCCCATTCATCACACCATTTTCAACTTAAAAACCTTTTAACATTTTTTCTTGAGTTTAATACAATTAATATTCAGCTTTTATGCATAAATAGGAATAATTTTATAAATCATTTGGTTTCTACGAGATTAAAACTGCTATTTCTATCGAAGAACTAAAACTCCAAGTTGGAAGAAAAAGGAAAAATTAATTCTGTATCGGTCAGGAAAGGTCTGAGGACTGTATCGCTTAATAAATGTGTTTAGCAAAACTCTTCTAATATTTTCCAGGTGGAGGCAGAAGCTGTAAACCGTGCGGTTACTGTGGCCAATCAGACCAACTGTCCACTCTACGTTACCAAGGTGATGAGCAAGAGCGCCGCTGATGTCATCGCACAGGCGAGAAAGAAGGGTGAGGAGCTCAAGCCCAATTTTCCTTGCTTGGCTTTTATTCATCCTTTGATGTGATTTATTGCGAACCAAATGTGTTAAAAAGAAGATGGATGCTGTGTGAAAGCTGATGAAAACCTTTAGGGTGTAGCAGTTTGGCCAAGGCCATAATGCCAGTTTAACCAAGTCAATATTATTCTCCATTTGTACTGGTCATAGAACAAAAAAAGAAAAAAAAAACCCTGAAATTTACAGACTTTCTATTTTTAGAATGTATGGCTTAAATATTTATGATGTTTAATGCATGCATTACATAAACGTATATTTAGAGTATTTTTTTTATTGTATTTTTTAGAAAAGATGATTTAAACAACTTAAGATTTTCTTGTATTACTTCTAACTTTGTTCCTTTTTAGAACACAGAGCTATGAAATTAATAAACAGAAAATTACTTAGAAAAATGTAATATTATTTTTTCAAATATTTTGAACACAAATATTATGGGATCATTTCATCATTAAGTATTATATAGCTTGATAAAGGACAGAATGTATGTATCCATATACTTTCAAAATCATGCCTTGAATATTTATTTAGCAATTGAATTCTTATTAAATAGAGGTATGTTTGGGTCTTTACAAAAATATATAAAAGGGCATATATACTGTTCATATCATTATATTATATACTTAATACTATGATCACCTATTTTACATTAGATCAAGCAAATATAGAACATATCAATAAATTATAAAGTTGGTAAATAATTTTTACTTAAAAAAATATGTTTTTCAGTTTATTAATGAGTTTTAACATTTAATATACTTTGGGATCAATTAAGTATTTTTGAATTGACTTTAGTTGTTGCTTCCAGGTTTTAGGAAATACCATCTCTTGTTTAAAACCCTGGGTTTTCATACTTGTAGCTTGTCTAATCAGTAGCTTTTTTTTCAAACATTTTACAGGTACTGTTGTCTACGGAGAGCCAATCACTGCTAGCCTGGGAACTGATGGTTCACACTACTGGAGTAAGAACTGGGCCAAGGCTGCAGCCTACGTCACATCTCCTCCCCTGAGCCCTGACCCGGCCACTCCAGACTATCTCAACTCCCTGCTGTCCTGGTAAAAAAACTGGATCAGATCTTCCACGTTAAGACTTATTTCACTATTTTCTCATTAAATGTTTCTTTTTCCTTATCAATCGTTAAAGTGGAGACCTGCAAGTGACCGGAAGTGCCCACTGTCCTTTTAACACTGCCCAGCGTGCTGTGGGGAAAGATGACTTCACCTTGATTCCTGAGGGTGTCAATGGCACAGAGGAGAGAATGTCGATCATCTGGGACAAGTGTGTTGTATGTGTCATGAAAGAGGCAGAAAAAATTAGAGCAGTGAAACAATTGGTCAGGAATGATGTAGAAAACATGGAACATAAATAGACTAAAGCATCAAGGGACCCCTGCTCGGTTCTCATGCTCAGCTCTCATTCCTTCCAGGTGACTGGTAAGATGGACGAAAACCAGTTTGTGGGCGTGACCAGTACCAATGCAGCCAAGATTTTCAATCTGTACCCCCGCAAGGGCCGCATTGCTGTGGGTTCGGATGCAGACCTTGTGCTCTGGGACCCTGACGTAACGAAGATCATCTCTGCCAAGAGCCACAACTCTGTACGTTCCCATTCTTTTTTTCTAATCAGTGTCAGCCAGAGGAAGGGGGATGTTAGTCCACTTTCTCGGTGGTTGGGAAGACTTCTGGCTGTCTAACTGCTAAACAGGGTGTGGGCCTCTCATGGTGTCAAGGGAGTGATGTCATTCATAAAATCTGCCAGAGAACTGAAACACATCATCGTCTGATTGTTTGCAGGCTGAATGTCTGTGTATGTATTAGTAAAACAGAGAGCCCATTGCTGTGGATGCTCATTTAATCCTGTTATGTCCTTCAAGTTCTTCTTGTTCCATGGGACAAGTAATGTATACAACTATTTGAGTAATGGGATGGCTAATCCTACTGCTGATCTCATATTGGGATAAAGTTAGCAAGATTGCCATGACCTCACCCTTAGCTACAGTAGCTTTTAGGAAAGTGCAATTTATAAAGCTTTCATAATGGACACACGCAAACTCAAAACGCCCTTTAATGAGCAGGCCTTCTCCTCTGTTGGGATAAGAATAAATGACTGTGTTTCCCATCAGCTTATCCCTCTTATCCATACAATCAGCTCTTTTTATTAGCATTGAACCACAGGGAACACTGTGTAACTCCATAAAACAGTTAAAGGAAGAGTTTTGAGCACTGTTAAAGTAGAGTTGAGTAGAATAATTCTCTTTTCTATCAGCTGATGGAGTGATCTTTACTGTGAACAATCTAGAAAGAAATATTAAGGAGTACAGATGACAGCTACTTAAAAGCAGTAGATGTTGTTTTAGATAGTTCCTAGCCTTTGTAGCTGTTACAATAAGTAGCCATTACTTTTGATAACTGTCAGTTGGAGTAGCTGTTAAGTAGTGCCAATAGATATTAGCCTAAGTGCCTCTTAGCTGGTAGCGTTGGAAGTTAACCTTTGCAAGAGTGCCGCAAAATTGCAGGACTCGTTGATTCTAAAAAAAGAAGGATTTTCTCCTTTTCATGGTAAAAGTTATCAATTGTGCTGCTTAGACAAAAAAAAAATCTAAATTACAATGAAAACTGCAGAAAATGCTGGGAAAACAAGTAGGACCATTAGAAACTGGCAGAGTGACAATAACATAAAGACAAATTAAAAATTATGAGGAGGAATTTAATTTACTATGCATTTTTTGGGGGTTGATTTAAGTGGTTTGCTAAATTATTATTACTTATTTTTTATATTTTGTATTTTTTGGGTATGAATTTAGCCTCCTGTTTCCATGTTTAACTCTATTTCAGTTGGTGGTGCTAATGCACTACAATTAATTTGCCAACTGCCATAAAATACTGCTAGTTTAGACAGTTGCTAGCTTTTGTAGCTTTTAACCTAAATAGTTTTTAATTTAGGTAGCTCATTTACTAGTTTATCAATTAGACTCCTGTTTACTGCTGTAAAAAGACTAAAACTCAGATATACTCCTTGGTCTTGCTTAAAAGTTCTGTTCAAGCTGTAATTGCAAGGTTATTCCATTTTGTTCTCAGAATGGAGTGTAAATCTGTAAACTAATAAAGGGATAATGAGTTATGATATGACCTTATATAGTCCTAATAAGATAAAATAAGATAGACTTTATTGATCTCACAGTGGAGAAATTCACTGGTCAGATTGGCTCAATAGTCAAAAGAAGATGCCAAAAGGAGGAAAAGGTACATAGGATATTTACACAATGCGTCCATATATATACAGTGGATCGAAAAAGAAAAGAAAGAAATAAGGCAGAGATTTAAGGTTCATTATGTACATTTAAGGTGACTTATTCACATTTGGATTTGGCGTTATACATTGAAGTGGTACCAAGTAAAGAACAGCACTGCAAAAAATAGAAATCTAAATAAGTCATTATTTGTTAAACTAAGTACATTTGTTCTTTAATTAAGGAGGTAAGTGAGACACTTTGCCAATGGAAGAACTTAGTCAACAGTTAAAATAAAAAAAAGCAACTGCATTGTCTTATTACAAGTGCATATTATCTAATTATCTTATTTTAAGAGTTAAAATACTCATTCCATTGGCAAATCATCCCATTTACCTATTAAAATTAAGGGTAAATACTCTTGATTTAAGAAATGTTTACTTATTTCTAGATCATTTTTGCAGTGAGTGAGGTGGTAAGATAATTATAACAGCTGAAGTCTCTTATTGAACAGGCTATTGCACAGGGTAGTAGATAGCAATTGCACATTAATTATTGCAGTTACAGTGTCGCGATGTAAACTCTGATGGCAGCAGGGATGAATGACCTGTGATAGTGCTCCTTTTTACAAACGGGGTGTACAAGCCTAGTGGTTAGGGCATAGAGCTTGGAATCCTGAGGTCCTGAGGTTCTGAGTTTAAGCCCCACAGACTGCCACTCTGGCTCTCTGAGCAACCCCACACTGCTCCCTGGTTGCCCCACGATGGCAGCCCACTCCTCCCCAAGGGGATGGGTTAAATATAGAGGTAGATTTCTCCAATGTGAGATCAACAAAGTTCAATTAAGTCTTTCACTAAAGGAGCTGCTCAGCTCCTCTACAGTCTGGTGCAGGGGGTGAGAGGTGTTGTCCATCATGGATGTCCATGAAAGATTTCATGATGGATGATAAAAAGGAACATCTATACAGTATTAAGGTGATCAACCAATGTATTTATCTTTTTTTAAGCTCCTTTCAGGTTTATTTTTTGGAAATGGCTGAGAGGAAGGTCAGAAAGTGTGAACTCTACTCTACCTTGTCCTTTTAGCTAAGTAAATAAAAAATATTGAAGTTCATTCAAAATAACTTTTTTCAAAATAATTATTTTTCTTTCAGACTGTAGAGTATAACATCTTTGAAGGTTTAGAGGTGCGCGGCGGGCCTCTCGTGGTCATCAGTCAGGGTAAGATTGTCTTAGAGGAGGGGGTTCTCCATGCCACTGAGGGCTCTGGGCGTTTCGTTGCCCGCAAACCTTTCCCTGACTACGTCTACAAGAGGATAAAGGCTCGCAGCAGGGTAAAGTGCTACAGTCCTTAATATTCTTTCTGATGATCATTTGTTTTTTTGTTTTTAACAATTACCAGTTTTTATCCTACTGGTAATTATTACGAGCTTATAAAGCTGATAAGCCACTATTCTTATAATGAAAATCATTTAGTTCAATTTATAATGTTTACATTATTGTAAAAGCTCTATCCAGTGTGTTTACATTGTGGGGAAAAGCTTAGTTTTGGTTCGCTCTGATCTGAATGTTGTACGTTATTTCCAATACCATAGCTGGCTGAGCTGAGAGGTGTACCCAGGGGACTTTATGACGGTCCAGTCTGTGAGGTTTCCGTAACCCCAAAAACCATGACACCCGTTTCATCTGCCAAGACCTCACCTGCCAAACAACCCAACCAGCCTGTCCGCAACCTTCACCAGTCTGGCTTCAGTCTTTCTGGTTAGTCAAGAAAACTGACCTTTAGCTCCAATGTTCTCTTAACCCTGTAATGCCAAATGTATCATATTTGATACATACGGTTTCTGAAATGTTTTGCGTCTGACACCTTTTGCATAATTTAATGGTAAAAATCTTGCTCAAAATCCTATTGTACACAATCAGATATACCTGATAACAGAGGGCAGAAGACTACACAAAAAATAATCTTGACTTATCACATAGTAATAAATTATTAATATCAAAAATTAATTTTTGTTTTTTCTTTTTACATATTTTGTTAAAAGGCCAAATAAGGACTTCAAACCAAAAAAAAGTAATTTTCTGTTTTGTTTTATTCTTGGATCGGGTTTTAAAGGGTTAAGATGCATATTTTTGTGTTTATTTCCAACCCACTTAACTATGTTAAAGCACAAATTTCCATACATCTTTTTTTTCTTTTACCCTTTTCTGCATTGTAATTCCCAGTTCCTTGTTTAAAGTCTTGCCTCTGTAAAGTAATGGTGGATTTTTGTATATGCACCAAAATTAACTGACTAAAAAAATGCTCAACATGAGGAACTCTGAAGATTTTTGGATTTTACATGACAAATGTTGAGGAATCCTTCAAATGGTCTAATTAAAAACTGCAGATTAAACTTGAAGAATGCGTCCAAATGAACCTTTCACTTGTCCCCACAGGCGCTCAGATTGATGACAACATTCCCCGTAGGAACACCCAGCGCATTGTTGCGCCACCAGGTGGCAGAGCCAACATCACCAGTCTGGGTTAAAGCTCCACCGCCACACCCCCACCCTGTGCCCTGCCGAGGAGGAAATTTGTCATAGGAGGGGTTCAGCTGGTGAGATCAGGTGGAGAGGAGATGCCATAACACATGAAGCTGAACCCCATCCTTCACCTCAGCCACTCAGTTGTTCAGCATTGACCCCGGCACTTCCTCCTTTGCAGATTTCTTACCCACCAACTTTCCAGTTTCCCAAACCTCGATCGAACCCAGTTAGAAATGAATAAGCAAACAAAAATCAAGAAAAAAAAAACAACAAACTGCTTTTGAGCACTTTTGACAGCATTATTTCATTTTTTATATATATTGAACTTTTTTTTAATCCATGTTCTTTTATTACTTGCTTTGCTGTTTTTGTTAAGGTTTCAGGTGAGTCAGACAACAGAAAAAGTAAAGTTTAGGCAAGTTGCTGTATTTCAGTTGGTCTCTTTCTTTTGTTTTTGTTGTGGCTAGAATGGAGAATGGATACCAAATTGAACGGTCTTAACAGAGTTGCAGCCAGGTCAGAAATATTTACTTTGTCTTGTTTTTATATAGAAGGCTGCCTTAAGAGTTGAAATAATTCAAGAGATTTTCTTATCCATGTTTGTTTATTTGTTTCTCACCGCAGTATATCTAGTAGTTTTCCACTTGTGGCTTTGCCACAGATAAAGTCAAGCTGGAAAAAGCAGAGTGCTTCACCTCTCAATTTTCATACATGCTTTGCAGAAACGGTGGTTTGGAGTTACGGTTGATTAAGAAAGTTTCACTGTCAAACCTTGCCCATGTCTTAATGTCCCTAATTATTCCTTTTGTGATATCCGTCATGGCTGGGAAGTGACTAATTATCCTTTTTTTTTTTTTGCATTTCTGCGTTACTAAGGTGAACATTTCTTGTCCTCCTCACAGCCGTCCTCCATCAACCAACTGCTGCTTTTGCATAAAGACTGTTTTCTACTCATGAAAATCCCTCCTTCATTTCCACTCTTTATGTGCCTGAACCAACAGAAGTTGTACTGATATTTTGATTTTATTGTTTATTTTTTGTTGATGTAAGTGAAGGATGTAAGATAAAAAAAGATGTAAAATAGCCAGGATTAACCGATTCAAAGGTGCCAGATTTTTGTGCTTTCATAGGGCCTATCCAACTCGATTGAGCCCTCTATAAAGGCAAAAAAGATCAATATCTTAAATATTCTAATGTTTTAGAGTTCTTACCTTGTTGTCAACTGCTTTTTAGTGTTATCTGTAACTAGGTGCCTAAGGGCTGAGCACTATTACTTTATGCTTGAACATAGACATGAGCTAATGTAGTTTGACTGACATCTTGTGTTGCTTTCGGTGAGGCATGAGACACCTAAAGGAGGCGCCTGTTAAAAAAAGAAAATTCATCAAAGGATGAATGAGTGTTCAAAATCATATGTTTCTTTGGGAAGACATGAGACAATTAATATAAGGCCATTACGTAGATATTTAATTAAAGTTGCTGTCTTTCTCCAACAGTTATCTAGGGCAAATTTGTAAAGTTGTACTGAAACTGAACAATAAAAAAGCCTGATATCACAGAAACATGAACATGGATGGCGACAATTAAATGGCAATTAAATTTGCTAAATTATAATGATGAACACTACAGGTACCATGTTAGCAGGTTTTTTATGTGCATACATGCATTGTAATGCTAAATTTCAGAATAATATTTGGCTATTGCCAATTAAATACTTTATATTAGCGGTAGCTAATCGTAATGGCCCGTTCGATTTACCTCAAAAGTGGGAAGTCAGGGTGATGTAATCTCCAAGGTGATAGCTACAGTGCTTGCATGGTAACATAGGTATATTGTTACCATGCGGGCAGTATAGGGCTGACTTTACTTCCATAGGTTATATTTAACTGCAGCTATTATTAATATTTAAATCATGGTATGTTAGCTAACAAGATCATGTTAACACCAAGAGCTGTTAATTGGGATTTTGACTTTATGACAGCATTTATGCTGAAGCTGCTAAGTTTAAGTCGTATGACTTTTGCTATAGGCGTGAATCTGATTTGAGAGGTTTTTTGAAAAATGATTTAAACACCCCTCACATCACATTACTGGATAAACCACAAGCTGTTTTGCCCCTGAATTAAACACAGAATAGATTGATAATAATATCCACTAATTCTGGACCTTCTCTCTCACCACTCCTTTGGTTGGTTCTGGCTGTAGCGTTGGCTACAAACCTCAAACATCTTACACTCTTCAGCCGTCTCTCATGGCAACCTGGTGCTATTATTGAAAACTGTGCTGACATGTTTTTTGAATTACTTTATTGTGTAGACTCCAAACTGTGCTGAACTTCTAAAATGGCACACAATGTTAGGAATACATAGAAAAATTAACTTTGTTCTCAAAAAAGTCAACTGTCTCCACCGGCGTCCCTCTGTGTCTCCTGCCTCCTCCATCGACACACACAGTTTTACTCCTCTGATGCTCTGTCAGCTTGGATGCTTTCTTTCTATGCCATGTTATGCTAATAATATATGAGTGACATGTTTGTACCCAACATGCTGCAGACTGACAGGTTCTTCCTTCTGTTCTGAGGTTGTTGATGCTGTTGAACACCACCTTTCCCCCTAAGGCCCGTAGTCACCCCACACCTCCTCCTCTGTAAGCTCTTACCCCTACTTTTGTGAAAGTGAAACTGTGTGATGATTTTAGTCCTGGTGGCTGTGGGGTTTCTAGGACACTTGCTTGTTATGATGAAAAGATCATGTGGACAGCAATGTAAAGAAAAAAATAAACAAAACAAGGACTTCAAAATAGCACAACTCTTTGTTGTTCTTGTGTGTTGTTTGTGTCACAAAGCGCTTGGTTTATAACTGGGGTTAATGTAGGACTTTTAAGCATTCCTGAGTAGAAGGACTATACTGAGTAGACAGCCTTTCCTATTGTTTCCAATGTCGCTAGTTAAAAAAAAAGTACCTTAATACAATTTCACTGGACACTACTTCACCAAAGTCTGAAATAAGACCCAAGCTGCTGCCCTCAGGTTAAAGAAAAAACAATTTGAATGAAGTCAGAAAATAAGTCTTAACATTAACTGCTAATAGTCATCTCTAAGTTTGTGGACTGTACTAATTAAACAATACGAAACCCTAAGGAAGTCGATATAGAGCTAAGAATTGTTGATTTACTTAACTGTTTCTGAGTACTTTTCATCAACCGTTAGAAAACCCAACTGTTCAAACAGTTCAAGAAGCATAGTTTATTCATTCGCTCGCCATTTTGACTACAGGCTATAGTGAAAAGCATGTTTAGAGGGGTCAAGGAGAGGTGCTGGAATGGCAGCATAATTAGATTTTCTTCACAGCCCATAGCTTTTTTTCCCCAAAGCTGCATACATTCACACTGAAGCTCCCTGGTTATATTTATTTTGTTAACCCTACAAGCTGCTTAAGTTAATTTATATAGCACCAATTTATAACAATAGTTGATTTTAGAAAAAAGAAGACAAATATGTACATCCATCCATCCATCCATTTCTTCCTGGTTATCTGTCAGGGTCACGGTGGAAGGCAGAGTATACCCAGGAGTATACCCAGGACAGATACCAGTCTATCCCAGATACATACAACAATGCACCACATACACTCACACCCAAGGGCAATTTAGAGATGCCAGTTAACCCAATAGTCATGTTTCTGGTTGTGGTAGGAAGCCAGAGTACCTGGAGATAATACACACATGCACAGGAAGAACATGAAAACTCTGGAGAGACTCAGGACCTTCTTGCAGGCAACAGGGCTAGAAAATTAGACCACCGTGTATTTACTTCTGAATAGAATATATAGTTGATCACGAAGTTCTAGTTATCATTCCGATCATAGAACATCCTCTTTCTGAACAGATTGCATAAAATCCCAGAGTTGGTGACCATAACTCCTTCATTTGAAAGAAGAATGTTTTTGTTTGTAATTGACCTTTATTGTTTTCACATTGGATTGCATTTAACCCATCCCTTTGGGGAACAGCGGGCTGCCATTGTCGGGAGCAGTGTGGGGTTTAGGGTTTTGCTCAGAGAGCCAGAGTGGCAGTCTGTTGGAGTGGGGCTCGAACCCAGAACCTCAGGATTCCAGGCTCTATACCCTAACCACTAGGCCGCAACCCCACAAGGTAAGCCCCAAATCCACAATAAAGTTGTCAGTGATGAGAATGTTTGAACCAGCCCATGTTGACATCAATGTGACAGCTCCTGATTTGCATTGCCTGTTGCACAAAGTCAATAAAATAATAGAGATTGCCACTTAATTCGTCTGCTTCCTAAATCGACTGCTAGTTGCCTCAACATTACACACTCTCTGTTGACCAAACAGGGGTGTGATTCAAACACGCATTAGTAGGCCTGCCAATTTCGGAAACAGAAAAACCTTATGGAGGGAACTCTCCAAGGCTTTTTCTCAAGCTTGTGGAAAATGTGTACGCTATCCTTTAAAGCAGACCTATCAATTTTAACAAACTTCTGTGACCAAGACGAGTGGTCAAATATCCAGCCAGAATGAAAAGGAGAGAATTAAGTCAGGTTGCAGCCTTGCACAAATAATAACAGTACAGAAATGCAAAAACAATATAAATAAAAGTCCAAATTTCAAAGACTGAACTAACTTCTATGGGAGAGTCCTTCACAAAGGGCAAACATTCAAACTGGTGGAAAATATGCAGCAAATTTTTGAAACACTTACCCCAAAAGGTTCAAAGGCAGATCACATCATGAACATATGTGCTTTTCCAGAAACTGTCTTCATGATAGAGTAAGACTAAAGCTGTTGTTGAGGGTTGAGGAGATCTTTGAAATCAGTGGGCTCTTAGAATTTTCAAGTTTGTTTCTGTGAAGAGTATCTGACATTATTGGAGGGATTAGCAAAAGGTATATTTAGTATGTTAAGTGGAAGAGAAAAGATAATCAGCAGTAAATGGAGGTTTGACATAAGTGCCCACTTTAGAAGAATACTGTAGATTAAAGTGATTAAAGATATGAGCCTACAGCAAGACTATTCTGAGAAATGTTGGAAATCATTGATGAACCTCAAGAACTCTAGATCTACATCATATAAATAAAGAACCTTTGATTTATGGCTATTGGTTTGTCTGCGTGTTCATAACACACTGGAGCAATCTATCCATTCACCTGAAATAGTGATAAATATTCTAATGGATCTTAATTTCAAATAAAGTTCTGTTTCACAACTATTGTGGGGTAAAAAAACAAAAAGACATTAGAAGTAATTTGTGCAGTTTTCCCAGAACAATGTTCAGGACTCCACATGCATGTGGAATGAGGCACTCTGGTTGGAGGAGGGAAAAAAAGGAATAAAAACAAAACAGTAATATGTGGCTTCAAAGAGCTGCCTCAAGATTCAAAAGGGGTATGCTGAAGCTTCTTCACTAGGTGGCAGTGTTGTCCTGCTATTACAATTACTTCAGGCTCCTTCTGATGCACATATTTGCACACAATTGTTGGAGCCAAACATGTGTTCCCTTGGCTGTAAGGGCTTGGCTCCTGATTTCCCTTATTCTTATTTACAGCAGGTGCTTAGTAAAAATGAATCATATTCATATTTGCTGTGATTCTATTTGATCTGAAGTCAGTTGAAATTTTGGATTAACCTTAAATTTGTAACATTTTATTTTTTTTATACATGGTTGTGAATCTGTTGCCCAGAGATGGATTTGTGACCTGTCCAGGGTGTGCTCTGCCCTTCACCCATAGACTGCTGGAGATGGACACCATGCACCCACCCATGATTCTGACGGATAAGTGGCAGCAGGTGGATGATTGGATTTTATTATTTTATAAATACCAGACTCGTGACTTTTCTATCAACTTAAATGCTCCTTCCACAAAAAAAAAAAAGAGTTTTATGAGACTTTAGTGACCCCTATTGGGCAATCTGTGTAACAAAATCACACCCATCTTTTTATCCCTCCAGCACACCCTGAGCAACCGGTCAGGCTTAATTATTTCATCTAGGAGGTGAGATTTACACTTACATGTGTTATTGAGTTCCAACCAAAGAAATTGATTTTCAGAATCATTTAAACAGTACAAGGGAGGGAACAATTATTAATTCTTTGAAATCTCCTGGAAACCATTATGTGAGATTTTTAAGAAGCATTTCAGTTCTGAGAAAGTAAGATACCCCTTTCCATAATTTAATAAACATGCTTAACCTACATCTTCCAGTGTCTCTAAATGATCCAATACATGATATCAGAAGAGCCGTTAAGCCCATTTTTAGCTGTGAAGGAGTCCAATTGTAAGCTATCAATCTAATTAACAGAATGATCATTATAAATTACGTTATTCTCATCTTCTGTTTGGCAATGAAAGAAACAGATGCAGCCTTCATCATCTTTTGAAATCAAAATGCACTCACATCGGCTGGAAAAAAAACAACCTTTTTTTTCTTGTCAAACAAATACTTCGAGCCAAGAGGTTCAGTTGCTGTGAAGAAGGTTGTCAAGACCAAACAGTGAAAAGAAAGGAAACAAAAAAAATCACTTCTGTCCATGAACAACACAGGGAGAAGTTTAACATTCTGCAGGTGTCGTAAGAAACTAAAAGTACAAAAGACTTTTTATCTGAATCCCAATTCTCATTGTTTATTTGGAAAATCCACAAAACAAGCTTAAATGGGAGGCAACCAGAGTTTTGCTCAATTTTTCTGAAGACATTTCGACACCTGTCGAAACATCACTGAAAACTCATTTAAGACTGTTTTGTGGTTGCTATGATCCTAATGACTGAGAATTTACACAGACATCTGGAGAATCTATTATCTGCAAAGACGAAGCTGAGCACCTAAAAAATGCCACAACAGAGGAATATTTGTCCAAATATCTCTTCCCTTCTCTTCCCAGCTCGGTGCTTTTAGTTGTCATCACTAATGACTGCATCCCTGTGTTTCCCTCTAACAATCTAATCGGCACATTTTCTGGTGACACCACAATTTGGGACTAATTACAGACAATGGTGAGTCATCTTGCAGCAGACAGCTTGCAGTCCTATTGCTGAGCGGTGCACAGACAACACTGCGCCCTTCTAAACTCTGTATACCAGTTTAACTTTTTCACATACATATAGTCATCTTTTGCAACCTTAAACTTATATATATATCTATATATATATCTATATATATATATATATATATATATATATATATATATATATATATATATATATATATATATATCCCCCAACCAGCAGCAACTACTGTACAACAAAAAACTCTGAAAAATAAAGCATGAATTTTTATTTACATCGTTAGATCAAAATTAGCTGCAGTAAAAGCTCCCTTTCTTGTATGATCCTATCACTTCTACTGCATATCCTTTGATCCTAAAAATTGAATTGTAGCTTTAATTATATATTAAGAGTATTTTTCTGCTTGAAGCTTAACCTCCACAACATTCTAAGTTTCTATTGCTGCCACTGACAGATTTACTCCCTGTATTTTACTGTCTATGTCCAGCTTCCATTATCCCTGCCATGTTTTACAGTTGGAATATTGCATGAAGGTTAGGAGAGGTGCTGCAAACAACAACCATTTATAGTTTGATCTTCTTAGACCAGATAACCTTTTTCCTAAAGTCCAACTCCATTTTTCACCTACTGGCCAGATGTGTATGTAATCCATATGACCTTTAAACTGCTATTTTACCCAACAGAGAGTGCCAGGGTCTTGCTTTGTTGTTTGTTAAAATATCCAGATGAGATCTTCACCTTGCAAAACCCCCAAAATATTAAATTATGCATTCAATGAGGTTT